GGAACGCTGGGTGGTGGGTGCTCCTCTTAAGCCCAGCCTCAGCCCTGAGTTGGGCTCGGACCTGTGAGGACCGTGCTGGCCTCTGGTGGGCATGGACCCCAGCCCCTCGGGGGCTTGACCCATCAGGGCTCTGTGCAGTAACCGCCGGGTCTGCGTCCCCTCTTACCGCAGCAAGAACAACCGCAGCTTCGACACGCCGGTGAAGGGACCCTGGTGGGTGCTCCTCTTAAGCCCAGCCTCAGCCCTGAGTTGGGCTCGGACCTGTGAGGACCGTGCTGGCCTCTGGTGGGCATGGACCCCAGCCCCTCGGGGGCTTGACCCATCAGGGCTCTGTGCAGTAACCGCCGGGTCTGCGTCCCCTCTTACCGCAGCAAGAACAACCGCAGCTTCGACACGCCGGTGAAGGGACCCCCGCAGGGCCCCCGCCTGCACATAGACATCCCGCGGGTGCAGCTCCTCATCGAGGACAAGGAAGGCATCAAGCAGCTGGGTAAGCACCGTGCCTTCCCTGCAGTCTGGGCCCTAGCCTGGCCACGGCAGCACCTTGTGGGGAAGGGATGTGGGCCAGCATCCCGGCTGGTCCCAAGAAGCCTGCGGTGGCCCTAGGCTGTCCCTTTCCTACCCTACCCTGGAGAGGGACCACGAAAATCTCCCGTCTCTGTGTGCCCCAGTGCAAGGTTGCCAGGGGATCCCGTGGGTGTGTGGAGCATGGGCTGATGGGCTCCCACAGTGACCTTTTGGCTAGAGAAAGGGCTCTGAGCTGCAACCTCTTCCCACAGGGGACGACAAAGCCACCATCCCGGTGACCGACACGGAGTTCAGCCAGGCGGTGAACCCCCAGAGCTTCTGCACGGGCGTCTCGCTGCATCACCCGGCGCTGATCCAGAACACGGGGCCCCTCATCGACATGTCGGACATCCGCCCCGGCACCAGTAAGCGGCTGCGGTCGTGTGGGGCTGGGGGGGGTTTACTGGGAGCAGCACGGGGCACAGGGTGGTGTGGGCGAGGTGGGTCCTGCACCATCCTGTTGCAGAGGGATGCTCGCGTTGGGGCGCAGGCCCTGACCCCAGCTCTGTGCCAAAAAGCTGCTGTTGGCAGTGCAGAAGGAGATGGCTGCTGTGACTCTGTCGCCTTTGTGCCC